ATAATGATAAGGCAATAACGTGGTCACCATTTATTCAGCAAGTTTAAAGGCTGCTGCAAAATCATTTTCCTCCTGCATCAACAAGGAACTTCAGTGAGAACAATTGGGACTGGGAAAGGTTACACACTCTCCCCCAAGTGCATCATCCTGTTGCTGTTCCTTAATGCCTGAAACATAAACATTGCCCCACAAGGCCTTTAGTGCAATGTGCAGTTTATCTTTAAGTAGTACTGCTATCTAAACATATGTGAGTTTCTAGGAAAGAGGCATCATCTGGACCCCCAGATATGGTTGAACTACAACTTAGGGCTTTTAGATCTGGCTATAAATATCCAGAGAGCCATTAGATGGTAGCAAAGAGATAGAGAATATTCTTAACTCTTTGCTACCATGTACTTGTTACCCAGCTCCACAATTTAGCTCAACTACTATTTCCATAATGTCTAACCATTGACCATGCTAGCTAGGACTCCTAAAAATTGTGGATTAATAAAGTCTGGTGGGCCATATGATTTCACCCCTGGTAAAATTAACAGTATTGCTGTGAAATAGTTCGAACCCATTGCCACACCTTTCTATTCATGTGTAGCCACTTTGCTATACAGGTTCAATAAGTTTTAGTAAGTTTTGCCCAGTGTGAAGATGGACACTAACACCACTTTTTAGGGCTGTATGACATGTAGAGTATCACTAACTTTTCAATAAATCAAATGTTCCCAAAGGTAATCCATAAGTTGGATCATGCTAAGGATCTTTGCCTGAATATTTTCTATTTCAGCTCCTAAGTTAGGCAGAAAAAAGATTCGTACTTGGTTGTCTGAGCACCTACAATTTTAGTTTTAGATCATAGAGTAAATCCTTAAAAAAAAACCCTTTATAAATATTCTGTGCCCTCATGACCACCAGATACATAAGATTATAACATGAACAAGTGTGTTGGGAATGATTGAAAATACTGTCCATCACACTTGGACAACACGTAGGCAAAAGCCCCCCTGAGCCACAGCTGCCATCTGCTCTTTGAGATGGAAATCTATTAATTTTGTAAATATGGCACCTTATTTTATAGGAAATTTATTTTATTTTTATTAGCTTAATTTTAATGAATGGTTGGACATGTACATACTTGAGATGATCCTCCCTAAAAGAAAGAAGACACGGAACAAAAATAGTAACTGCAGTCAATCTCAGAGATTCTCCTTCCCCTACATAAATGAGTGTAACAGACTTGTATGTGCGTGTACACCTCATTTTCATTTATTTAAAGTATTGATATGGCTGCCTAAATAATAAAATTGTGATTCCATGCAGTGTACAACAATAATAAAAATATAATAGTTCCCATGAAAACAACCAGAAATCACAACAGATTTCTGTATGAGGGTGTGGAATCAAAACTGCTTCTTTCACCCAAAGGTATATTTTCCTCACAAGGGAGTGTGTGTGTGTGTGTGAGAGAGAGAGAGAGAGACAGAAGACAGAGAGATTTGTGGATATAGCTTACACATAACGTAACAGAATTTTGCTACTTTTAGAGAAATACATTTATCTTGGTTGTTTAACAGATAATGCAAATAAAAATTATCAGAGTGCCCTGGAAATTTAAATAAAAGGGGGGTGAGCAACTGGTGGCGAATATCCCTGTAGAATTGACAGTGCAAAAGAACATGGGCTGTGGTTTCAATGGCACCCGGGCCAAAAGGGCAATATCAGGTTTCATATGGGGTTTTCCTATATTTCCCTTCCAAAACAGCTGCGGGGAAGACATTAAATCAGGCTAGAGATAAGGCTCTCCTGAATTTGGGAACTGTAACATGATATAAATACGAAGCTGGTTTAGGCGCTAAGATTTGGTAATTAGCAATTATGAGAAAATGCAGCAGTTTCTGTTTGGCCTTCTGTATCTAAGATCCTTTGCCTTAGCATTGATCTAGCTTGATCTAACTCTACGGTTAAAATGGCATCACTGGAAAAACCATAGAGACTTCGTTTCTTTTGAATAGCTATTTTCCAAGAGGATTTGAAATTATCTGCCAATATTAGATGGGTCAGTCCAGTGGGGTTGTGATGTAATTTTAACCAGTAGGTAAAGATATTTATCCAGAGATTAGATTCAAGCTTATTGACTCCTGCTTCCTGTTGAAGTACAGTGTTTGGAACACAGCAGGTAACCTAGAAGATGTTTCTTAGAAATTTTGTTAGTATTCTTTCTAAGGTAACCATGCTGTTATATGGTTATATATCCCCTCCCATGCCTGAATTTAGTGGGAATAAAGTGAAGCTTTTACAGTGGGGCAAAAAAGTATTTAGTCAGCCACCAATTGTGCAAGTTCTC